AAGTGGTGGGCAGATTATTGAAATTCAAGGGAAAAAATCTACACAAAAGCATATCTATTTGAAGAGTTCTTATGGAGTACTTGCTTCCCACCTTCCACCCTAGTGGAATCTACTTTTTTACAATCTGAAACGTAAAGAAAAACTAATGGCAATGAATTGGGCTGCTAGAAAAAGATTTCTGCCAGGAAGTGACCCTTGGTTTTCTGAGTTGGATTCTGTGAGAATTTTATTGCTTTCTGGGAGGGATGGCTCCGTTTCTCACATCAGTAAGAAGTCATGTCTCTTTCCAAATTATATACACACCTGGAACTCACTGAGGAGAAAAGGAAGACAGACCAAGGCCTTGAGAAGAACTGGGGATACAAAACAAAGATTCATGTGTGCATGTAATAGGTAATAGAAAAATATAAAAAAATCCATTCTACCTAACTTATTTCATCATTAAAGCAATGATTATTTAAAAATTAATATTTTTATTCTTTAGGGAGTAAAACATTTTTAGAAATTATATGAATATATATGATATGTATTTTAGCTGTATGGAAAATGGGAGGAACAAATTTTTTAAAATCTTTCAGTTAAAATTCTTCATAGTTTTGTTAAAATTTGATATCAGAAAACACTCATGCAAGAAGAGTAGAGTGAAATATTTGAAGTGTTGTAAAACAAAAAATAAAACCATCCATCAATCTAGAATTCTATAACCAGTAAAATTATCCTTCCAAAGTGAAGGATAAAAGACTTTCTCAGACAAAAACTGGGGAATTTATCTCCAGCACACTTGACCTGTAAGAAATGTTCAGCTATTAAGGGAGAAGAATGATGTGTCAGAAGTTTTTACATAAGAAATCATCAGAGAAGGAATAAATGAAGGTAAACAAAAATATTTTGCTAGTTTCAAAAACCCTTCTTTAGTCTACAATTTGAATATAATCTTTTAGAATGATCTCTTTTGGAAATATATGTGAAAAGCACACAATTCATGAAATTCTAGCATGTAACAAATTTTGTACATTTTTTAAGAAGTTCCTTTATTTTTGGCTGTGCAGGGTCTTTGCAGCAGGTTTTTCTCTAGTTGCAATGCATGGGCTTCTCAATGCAGTGGCTTCTCTTGTTGCAGAGCATGGGTTCTAGGGTGTGTGGGCTTCCGTAGTTGCAGTTCCCAGGTTCTAGAGCACAGGCTCATAGTTGTGGCCCATGGGCTTAGTTTCTCCTTGGCATGTGGGATCTTCTGGACCAGGATTGAACCCATGTCTCCTACATTGGCAGGTGGATCTTTACCACTGAGCCACCAGGGAAGCCCTATTTTGTACATTTTGTGTTTTTTATATTTTGTTTTCCTAGCCCAGAATAGCCTCAGCTCTTCCTTCTCAACCTGAGAAGATTCTTCAAGACTGAGTTTAAATGGAGGAAGGAGAGAGCAGTGGTTAAAAGCATGCATTTGAACTCCACCTCTGCATGGTGTCCTTAGGCAAACTTCACTACCTCTGAATTTTCTTTAAATATAACCTTCTATTTTTAGAGTTCTGAGGAATAAATGAGAAAATATATGAAGTGGTTAACATAGTAAAAGTACTCAATACATGAAAGCCACTAGAGTAAATAAGTATAACTCCTGTAAGTTTTTCCTAATGTTCCCAGGAAGAATGCTACTCCATTGTGCTTCCAGAAATTAAGTTTATACTTGTATTTGAGCATTTTTCACAGAGTACCTCATTTGCCCACTTAAATGTGAGCTGTTGGGAGCTGAGATTGTGTCCTATGTAACACCTGTGCACTACAGCTAGTGAAGTCTATGTGCCGCAGTGAAGACCCAGCACAACCAAATAAATTAAAGTGTTCTCAAACTTTAACATCTAAGTTTTTAGAGACTATGTTTAAAATGCAGCTTCCTAAGCCTTCAACCCGAGTGACTGATTTACTAGGAACCGGTATTTTGGCAAAGTACTTACACCCACAAAAGTTACTTTGATGCACCATATTTTGATAAACATTGTTATACTTTGTTTTTATCCTTTCTCTGAAATAAAAATAGCAAGGAAGTAAACAATCCTAGTAAATACATTTCATGTTGTCCCTTATGCTGTGTGCCCCCGTGTGACAAGTTGCTTCAGTCATGTTGATTCTTTGTGATCCTATGGACTGCAGCCCGCCAGAGTCCTCTGTCCATAGGACTCTCCAGGCAAGAATACTGGATTGGATTGCCATGCCCTCCTCCAGAGATCTTCCCGACTTAGGGATGGAACCCAAGTCTCTTATGTCTCCTGCATTGGCAGGTGGGTTCTTTACCACTGGGGCCACCTGGGAAGCCCCCTTATGCTGTAGACATTACAAAAGACAGAAGAACAATAAGCCAATTACAAGGTCAATTATCCTTCTTTTCACATGTTATTAACTCTGTTATAGTTAGGTTTGTTACCTACACTTGGAACTTAAGACCTTCAGCTCTTCAGTAAGTTGAGGTGTCACTTGCAAGTAGTTATTATAAGCTAGAATATACTCATTTTCTTCCTGGTAATAATGATGTAATTGGGTAACTTATTTTGCTTGAAATGGAGACACTATTCTTCAGACTTTACATTAGCTGGTGTTTGGGTTAGATTTAATGTGCCCTGCCCTCCAGTATGTGTGTATGTATATTTTATATATATGTATAACTAATATTTGTGTATTCCTAATTTTCCACAAGTGAGTCCAGGTGGCTCAGTGGTAAAGAATCTGCCTGCCAAAGCAGGAGACACAGTTTCAATCCCTGGATCAGGAAGATACCCTGGAGGAAGAAATGGGAACCCACTTTAGTATTCTTGCCTGGGAAATTCCATGAACAGAGGAGCCTGCGGGCTACAGTCCATAGGCTCACAAAGAGTCAGACATGACCTAGCAACTGAGCATGCATACACAGTTTTCCACACAGAATGAAACAGGCTGGTATCCTAGTGTAAGCAGGGAATGTTACTGGCCTTGTATGAAAGTTATTTCCAGTTAAAATAACTTTAGTTGTAAAACTGCACAGAGAGACCAGGGAGCCAATAATTGATCTTTATTATACAAGAATGCGAACGCCATATGCATTAAATGGTGTTTTGCAGTGAACATTATGCAGATTCAAACTGAAGACATCCTCATCTTAATGAGATACAATATAAAAATAAACACTGACCAAGAGTTGCCAGAAAGAACTCAATTTCCACTCTCCCAATAAACTGAAACTCTCCACAGGAAAATCTGGTTTAAATTCATGCCAAACTGTTCAAATGGAAAGAAAAACTAAGTCAGGTAGAGACACCATGGACTGGGTTTTATAGTTTTAGGGAGCCAGACTGAAGCTCTACTCAGCTTCACATTTTTTAGGAATTTGTTTCATTTAAACTTTTTATCTTTAGTCACCTAAGTGATAACCTAAAGTGAAAAAAAGTGAGTTGGGGAATTTTGTGGGGCTAGAGAGGTTTAGAGGAGGGAAAGTTACAATCATTCATTTAATTACTTCTGATCAGGAAAATTTGATATCAGGTCTGGGTCATCTGTATTAGCCCTTTGATAGACTGTTTCTCTGTAGTGGTCAAGAGGCAAGATCCTTGAAGTATCAGCATTAACAAATGCTTGACATTAGCACAGTTGGGTGCCTGTCCTCTTTATATTCCCAAATGCTGGACTTTATATAGGATGCTTTTAACATCAAATTGCCCTTCTGAATGATTTTTCTCAATAAGCTTCTCTTTGCATTTACTACTGACTTAAAAAATGTTTTAGAGAATGAGTTAGACAAAGGATTGTGTTGAGACAAGACTAATGACTAGGAGGTCATCTGTGGATTAAATATAGATAAAACTACACCCAGGACCTTTAAATATACACAAAGTAGGTAAAGAACCCGCCTGCCAATGCAGGAGACTAAGAGACGTGGGTTCCATTCCTGGGTCGGGAAGATCCCCCGGAGGAGGGCATGGCAACCCACTCCAGTATTCTTGCCTGGAGAATCCCATGGACAGAGGAACCTGGCAGGCTACAGTCTATAGGGTCACAAACAATTGGACACGTCTGAAGTGACTGAGCATGCACACACGTCAATTCATGTAGGACGCCAAAACAGGGAACAAGGTCTAGAGTTTAGATATATTGTCTGAACTCAAGATGGTGCTCTTCAGCAATTGAAATCTACAACTCCCTAAATTCAATCAGAGTAGAGACATTTAAAGTAGCCTGGAGGAATCCAGATAGTCATGTGCTAAAGAGTGGAAATTCTGGTGCCACTTTCCTTCTTTGCAAATTGTATTGGTGACTGAATAAAAGAGGCGGTTGAGAGATACATTTTTTTTTAAATTTAGATTTCTGCTGTAATGAATGATGGAGTAGGACAATGCTGAGAGAGAGAGTAGGGAACATATTTATGGTTCTAGGACTGTGAGAACCAGGTAATCACATTTGGAATATTCTCATTATTTAGAAAAGGAAAGATGAGAAAATCACTAGTGGAACATACATTTATATCTCAGAGACCATCTGCTCCAAAAATCAGTTTTATTTCCCCTTATTCAAAGAGATGGTTACTTCAATAAGCTACATTACTTAGCAGAGCCTGGGAGATAGGCTGAAAACATATATTTAAGACAGAAAACAAACTTTAAAAAATGAGATAAATGGTTTGCTCTACATCTCATTCACATTCTATGGCTAGAGAAATCCAAATCTCACTGAAATATTCCTGATAATCCAAAAGCACACTGGATGGAAGTGAACCAAGAAATAAGAGAAAATGTTTACTGAGTGAGTGCTGGTTCACCCAATTTATTCACCTCTGGAGTGGAAGTATAAGGAGATATAAAGCCTGCTTATAAGAGACAAGGTCCACAGAGAAGCCCTGAATTGCTCTCCCCAAATAACAAATTTGATTCAAGAGGAAAAAAAAAATGATGGAAAACATCTCATCACACAAAACTTGGTGATGGTGTCTCTGACAGTCACTGGCCAGCAATGGAAAAGGAGAAACCCAACAGCTGGCTTTATGATTTATTGAAGGCTGCCAGCACAGCCCAGATCATCTCTGTGGCACTGTGCTTTGTCCCCTCTACCTCAGGGTCCAGTTCTACTAGGTCCTTGGCTCGATTCATTGCCATATCGTACTTGTCATCTGTCAGAGAGGAGAAGACATTCTCTAGCACATCGGAGGAGTGGGCCAGCACCAGCAGTGCCAGTGTTCGCTTGTCCATACGCTGAGGGTCATTTACCCACCGCTCTAGGACACTATCTTGAAGTTTTTTCACTAGTCGTTGCTTCTCTGTTGTATTGGTCACTGGGTGAGTAGTCATGTCAAATAGGAGGAAATTCTGCTTCTCAGTGGTTAGAATACCCTTCTCTACTAGGTTCTTTGCAATTCTCTCTCTCACATTTCTCAGCTGGTACTGTAATTTGAAAGGGTTCCAGGTCTCACCTATGGGAAAAATAAACAGAATGCTTGAACAAGACTATAAACCAACTAGACTTCAGAAGACATCTACAGATTATTCTACCCTGTAACAGCAGAATGCCCATACTTCTCATTTCCATAATACACCATATGTTAGGCCATAAAACAAGCCTTAATAAATTTAAAAGAATTGAAAACATACAAAGTATGCTATTCAGTCACAATGGAATTATAAACTGATAACAGAAGGACATTTGGGAAATTAAAAAGATATGTGGAAATTTAAAGACACACTCTGAAATAACCAATGCGTCAAAAAAGAAATCACAAGAAAAAATTCAAAAATAATTTTGAATTATATTATAATATATATATATATTATATTTTGAATTTTGAATTTTGAATGAACATACCAAAACTTATGGGATGCAGCATAAAGCAGTGCAAAGAGGGAAATTTATGATCCAAATGCTATATTAGAAAAGTGAAAGTCACTCTGTCCTGTCCAACTCTTTGCAACCCCATGGACTGTAGCCCGCCAGGCTCCTCTATCCATGGAATTCTCCAGGCAAGAGTACTGGAGTGGGAAGCCGTTCCCTTCTCCAGGAGATCTTCCCAACCCAGGTCTTCCGCATTGCAGGCGGATACTTTACCATCTGAACCACCAGGGAAGTCCTGTATTAGAAAAGGAGATGTCAAATCAATAACCTAACCTTCAAACTTTAAAAAACTAGAAATAGAAGATAATACTAAACCCAAAGCAAGCAGGATAAAGGAAACAATAGAGTAGAGAGGAAATAGAAAAAATGAAAACAATAGAGAAAAATCAATAAAATAAAACTCTGGTTCGATGAAAAGATGAAAAAAACTGACAAACCCAGAGTGACCAAGGAAAAGAGAAGACTCAGAATTACTAAAATTAGGAATGAAAGAGGAGACATTACTACTAAACTTACAAAAATTAACAGGGTTTTAAGGAATACTATGGAAAACAGTATCACAACAATTTAGACAACCTAGAAGAATGGACAAATTCCTTGAACTACAATTACCTAAACTGACTCAACAAGAAAGAGGGAATTTCAATAGAACTATAACAAATAATGCCCTGGTGGCTCAGACAGTAAAGAATCTGCCTTCAACGCAGGAGACCTGGGTTCTATCTCTGGGTTGGGAAGATCCCCTGGGAAGAAGGAAATGGCAACCCCTCCCCAAATGCCCCAGTATTCTTGCCTAGAGAATTCCATGGACAGAGGAGCTTGGTGGGCTACTGTCCAAGGGGTCGCAAAGAGTCAAACATGACTGAGCAACTAATACCACACACATATAACAAGTAAAAGGCTTTCTAGGTGATGCTAGTGGTAAAGAACCAACCTGCCAATGCAGATATAAGAGACGCAAATTTGATCCCTGGGCTGGGAAGATCCCCTGGAGGAGGGCATGGCAACCCATTCTAGTATTCTCTCCTGGAGAATCCTATGGACAGAGGAGCCTGGTGGGGTACAGTCCACCGGATTGCACAGAACTGGACACGACTGGAGCAACTTAGCACACATAACAAGTAATTAGATTGAACAGTAACTTTAAAACTTCCCACAAAGAAAAGTGTGGTCAAGACGGCTTTTCTGGTAATTCTACCAAACATTAATGGAGAATTAATGCCAATCTTTCACAAACAGTTAAAAAAAAAAAAAAGAAAAGGCAGAGGAGGGAACACTTCCTCAGTCTAAACAGTAAGTATTCCTCTGATACTAAAATGAGACAAAACTTCACAAGATAACTATAGACCAGCATCTCTTATGTATATAGGTACAAAAATACTGAATAAAATATGCACAAACAAATCTAGCAATATAATAAAGACACAGGGAACTCTTTGATGGTCCGGTGTGCTAGGACTCTGCATTTTCACTGCCAAGGGCATAGGTTCAATCCCTGGTCAGGGAACGAACATCCTACAAGCAGTATGGCTCAGCTGAAGGAAAAAAACAAACAACCCCATCCCTAAACTACGTAATATGATAAAGGGGGACTTAAAACAGAAATGTAAGTTTGATTAAAAGTACAAAATCTATAAAATGAAAAGCAAAAACCAAATGATCACCTTCATAGACAAAAGCATTTGATAAAATCCAACACTCTTACATCATAAAAACACTCCATAAGCTAGGAATAGACAGAAACTTTCTGAACTTGATAGAAGAATTTATGAAAACCTCACAGCTAGCATAATGCTTAATAGGAAAAGACTGAATGTTGTCATCAAGGATAAGACAAGGAAGTCCATTCTCATCATTCCTATTCAGCACCATACTGAAAGTTCTAGGCAGGGTAATTAGGTAAGAAAAATATATAAAAGGATCTGGATTAGACAAGTTAAACTATTTTTATTTTCAACTGAAATTTTTATTTCAATTTAAATTACAGCAAAATTACAAGTAACAAGAAAAAAGATTAGGTGAAATGGATCAAAATACAAAACCTATACTTCAAAGGATACCATTAAGAAACTGAAAAGACAACCCATAGAATTGGAGAAAAATTTTGCAAATCATGTATCTGAAAAGATTTGTATTTAGAACATATTTTAAAAGTACAACTCAATAGTAGAAAGCAAACCCAATTTAAAAATGGGCAAAGGATTTGAACAGACAATTCTCCAAAGAAGTATACAAATGGCCAATAAGCACATATAAAGATGCTCAACATTACTGGTCATTCAGTTCAGTTCAGTTCAGTCGCTCAGTTGTGTCCGACTCTTTGCGACCCGTGAATCGCACGCAGCACGCCAAGCCTCCCTGTCCATCACCAACTCCAGGAGTTTACTCAAATTCATGTCCATTGAGTCGGTGATGCCATCCAGCCATCTCATCCTCTGTCGTCGCCTTCTCACCCCCAATCCCTCCCAGCATCAGGGTCTTTTCCAATGAGTCAACTCTTCGCATGAGGTGGCCAAAGTACTGGAGTTTCAGCTTCAGCATCAGCTCCTTCCAATGAACCCCCAGGACTGATCTCCTTGCAGTCCAAGGGACTCTCAAGAGTCTTCTCCAACACCACAGTTCAAAAGCATCAATTCTTTGGCACTCAGCTTTCTTTATAGTCCAACTCTCACATCCATACATGACTACTGGAAAATCCATAGCTCTGATGAGACAGATATTTGTTGGCAAAGTCTCTGCTTTTTAATATGCTGTCTAGGGTGGTCATAGCTTTTCTTCCAAGGAGCAAGCATCTTTTAATTTCATGGCTGCAATCACCATCTGCAGTGATTTTTGGAGCCCCCCAAAATAAAGTCTGACACTGTTTCCATTGTTTCCCCATCTATTTGCCATGAACTGATGGGACCAGATGCCATGATCTTAGTTTTCTGAATGTTGAGTTTTAAGCCAACTTTTTCACTCTCCTCTTTCACTTTCATCAAGAGGCTCTTTAGTTCTTCTTCGCTTTCTGCCATAAGGGTGGTGTCATCTGCATATCTGAGGTTACTTATATTTCTCCTGGCAATCTTGATTCCAGCTTGTGCTTCATCCAGCCCAGGGTTTCTCATGCTGTACTCTGCATATAAGTTATTAAGTAGGGTGACGATATATAGCCTTGATATACTCCTTTCTTGATTTGGAGCCAGTCTGTTGTTCTATGTCCAGTTCTAACTGTTGCTTCTTGGTCTGCATACAGATTTCTCAGGAAGCAGATGGGTCTGGTATTCCCATCTCTTTAAGAATTTTTCGGTTTGCTGTGATCCACACAGTCAAAGGCTTTGGCAGAGTCGATAAAGCAGAAATAGATGTTTTTCTGGAATTCTCTTGCTTTTTTGATGATCCAGTGGATGTTAGCAATTTTATCTTTGGTTCCTCTGTCTTTTCTAAATCCAGCTTGAACATCTGGAAGTTCACGGTTCATGTACTATTGAAGCCTGGCTTGGAGAATTTTGAGCATTACTCTGCTAGCTTGTGAGATGAGTGCAATTGTGCAGTAGTTTGAACATTCTCTGGCATTGCCTTTCTTTGGAATTGGAATGAAAACTGATCTTTTCCAGTCCTGTGGCCACTGCTGAGTTTTCCAAAATTGAGTGCAGCACTTTAACAGCATCGTCTTTTAGCATTTGAAATAGCTCAACCGGAATTCCGTCACCTCCACTAGCTTTGTTTGTAGTGATGCTTCCTAAGGCCCACTTGACTTAGCATTCCAGGATGTCTCGCTCTAGGTGAGTGAGCACACCATCGTCGTTATTTGGGTCATGAAGATCTTTTTTGTATAGTTCTTCTGTGTATTCTTGCCACCTCTTCTTAATATCTTCTGCTTCTGTTAGGTACATACCATTTCTGTCCTTTATTGTGCTCATCTTTGCATGAAATGTTCCCTTGGTATCTCTTAAGTTTCTTGAAGAGACCTCTAGTCTTTCCCATTCTATTGTTTTCCTCTATTTCTTTGCACTGATCACTGAGGAAGGCTTTCTTATCTCTCCTTGCTATTCTTTGGAACTCTGCATTCAAATAGTTATATCTTTCCTTTTCTCCTTTGCCTTTCACTTCTTTTCAGCTATTTGTATGGCATTCTTGGACAACTATTGTGCCTTTTTGCATTTCTTTTTCTTGGGGATGGTCTAGATCACTACCTCCTATACAATGTCACAAACCGTCCATAGTTCTTCAGGCACTCTATCAGATCTAATCCCTTGAATCTATTTGTCACTTCCACAGTATAATCGTAACAGATTTAGGTCATACATGAATGGTCTAGTGGTTTTTCTACTTTCTTCAATTTAAGTTTGAATTTGGCAATGAGGAGTTCATGATCTGAGCTACAGTCAGCTCCCAGTCTTATTTTTGCTGACTATATAGAGTTTCTCCATCTTTGGCTGCAAAGAATATAATCAATCTGATTTTGGTATTGACCATCTGGTGATGTCCATGTGTAGTCTTCTCTTGTTTTGTTGGAAGAAGGTGTTTGCTATGACCAGTGTGTTCTCTTGGCAAAACTCTGTTAGCCTCTGATCTGCTTTGTTTTGTACTTCAAGGCCAAAT